GAAGAGGTCAAACTATTCTAGCAAATAAGCTTTATCCCATCATACCTGAAATTGCATAATCTCAATGACAGCAGTCTTGAAAGCTGAAAAGAGTTCCAAAAGAGACACATTTGACCTCTCAGTATCAATGACTTTCATGCCATGTGCCTACATTATGCCAGATCTAGTTTGGCAATCTACAAACTTGACATAACCTGCAATTTCACTTCATATCATACATCGGAGACACATTTTCATATACATTTTCCTCTACAATTTTACTCTCTCCAAAGTTATCATTTGATATCCAGGGATAATGAGCTACCAAAGGTTTCTGAAAGGATTCAGGAAGATGGAGGTCCCTCACACTAATTTAYAGGAATAGTTACATGTTGTATAATCCATGATACTGAAGAAGGTATCTATTCTGCTAAAAAGATCATCCACTTTAAGACAACCGATCTTCATGCCAGACAGCTTTTGCTGTAGCCATTYAGGAGTTGTCATCTGCATTCCCCAGGGGTTAACTAATTGGGATGCAATTAGCAGGTTTCATTAAAAGCCCTCTTGACTTGTAAATGAGCATTAGTGTTGGGCTTTGAAGAACCCACCGTTATTCACCCTGACTATATTTTAGTTCAATCCACACCTGAGTCTCTGGTCAATGTCACAACAGGTTGTTTGCCTGTAAAAACCCAAGCAGCAGCATAAAAATGCTGCCACCTTTAAGATTAAGTGACTGACCCAGCACTCAAACTAATACTTCTGTGAGTGACTCCCCACCATTAAACAGAAATCTCTGGTCTTTTCTGTTACAGAGACCAGGAAAGACAGAATTGTTCACAAGGGCACTACTCTAAAGCAGGGGATGAACTTGCAATGCCTTCAGTCCTGATAGCCATGTCCAACTGCTCTGCATGAACTGATCCATCTACAATTTATGAAGGACCCTAGGAAGGCAAAGAGGGAAGGAAATTTTCAGTCAATGGATGCACATCTGTGTAAATGTGAGCATCTCTTTATTAAAGAGTTTCAGGATACTTTGGCCCTGGTGGTGAGTCAATCCTTCAATATGCAGTGCTCCTGTGTACATTTGAAGCCCAAAAGCTGCTGGAAAYCATAAACACCACCATTTTCAGAGGAATGTACCTGTATGAAAAATGTAATGCCTGTCTGTCTCTCTACATCAGGTACCTGCTGAAGAGAGGGTATCCAGGACAGGGAATGTCAAATATATCCAACCAAATTTATAAAGTCAGGCTATTCTGGTTRTTTCAACACTGAAGGCATTAAGAGACTGTAGAGAGGATGCCTCATACTCATCAACAGTTTTCTTTTATGCTGCACTCATAGTGGAATCTGGCTGTCCAGGACAGTACTCTCCACATTCACAATGCAACAGAGGAGCCATATTGAGCTAAAGGGAGAACTGCTGCCCAATTCAACAGATGGCATGAGAATAGGAAAGATCTGGCATGGGACTCGTTCAGAAGTGCACAGTTCAACATGTATAAAGAAAGAGAAGTCAGTGAGGTGACATCTGTTTACTTCATCATAATATGTTTCCCTACTACCACTGGTTTGGGAGAAAAAAAAAAGATGGGAATGAAGACTATTCTGTCACATCCAAGTTTAGACTGCATCATCCTCTCCTGACCAGCAGGCAGTGCAAGGACAGCAAACCTGAAAATAAAGCTCAATACTAATAAAGGGATTCCTTGGCAACCTCATTCCTTATAATTCCTGAAAAAGATTGTGGGGTTTCAACTTTTCGGTAAAGGATCTCCATTCCTAGATCTCCCTGGGTGAAGAGCTGCAACTGATATATTTTGGACATGGCCAGGAGCAGGTCCAGTTTCCAAGAAAAACAATCCTAACTTCTTAGCCTGCTTTCCTACAGAAGGAGGCTTATGCAATCACACTGTAGCCAAGCCAGTTGGCAAGCTGCATGCAAGCCTGACAGAGGCAGAGGTCTCAAGAGTTATCTTCCTTGTTTGTGAAAACACTGGGCCAGGTGGGCACACTTAAGAAACACTGCACTGTGAACTGGCACCAACACTCTCATAGCTGAGATAAATCCGAAGAAAAGCAGGCTTCCTTCRTTTTAGTTTGGACAGAAATGTTGGCTTAAAGTGAAGAAAAGCTTTTCCCTTGACCCCATTAATAAAGTTCACTCAGAGGTTTAGAATAAAAAGGCCAGCAGAAAATAGTAAGAGGTCTCACCACAGTGTTTACTGCAACCAGTGCAATTTYTAATTGAGCAAATACTTAAATGCATCTTAAAAATGCACACCACTGGACATCAAAAAGTACCCTTCTATCTATTCCCCCACCCCAAATTTCAGTGCTCTAAAGAAGCACCTGAGTGAATTTCACACACAAACATACACACACACACTTCCCAAGACAGAGCTGAGCTGGTCTAAGCAAAAGTTTCACCCAGAAATCTGGCCTCATTTAGCATCATCACCTCCATAACCACACATTAAGAGGCATGGCAAAAGGGAGCGACAGCAGGGTCCCACCCAGAGTGACACTGCCCGGGAGCCCCCCAGCTTGCCTGCTGCCACTGCTACACGGGCCCAGGGAAGCTGACGGTGCCTCATCATCTAGAGGGACATCTGCTCCTTTGGGGCTGTCAGAAAACAAATTCCAAGCACAACACTCTGGTGCTGCTGGCAGAAGCAGTGCATGACCCAGCTATGCCTCTCCTCTGCCAGCTGGGAACTCCCTGTCTTGGAAGGATACCTTTGCCAGAAAGATCCAGATACTTTTTGCCCATTTACATCCCAAGCACAGATGAGAACACGATCAAAGATTTCTAAAAAACCTTCGTGACAATTCTTGYTGGAGTCATTTAAGCACTCGCAAGACAGAGGGCTGCAAACACTTGTTTTATTCACAGAGTACACATTATATACTCCAGCAGAACTGAGATGCAGAGACCCATTTTGCATTTAGGCAGTGCTTTTGGACTACCCAGTAAAAAAACACAGGAATATGCTACTGAAATCCAGGTGTGGCTGTATGTGAGGATGAATGAAAGCCAACTCACACAGTRCTAAGAGAAGGGATAGTTTGACTAACAAAACCAAGGAAAACCATACAAGTACCACAAGATCTTTAATATGTAGCCAGGGCAAACAAGACCTACTTTAAGAACAAATAACGTCCAAGTGAAGAAAATAAATCAGACTATAGCAGGGTAAAAYGATCACTGGAGCAAGCGTCAGGGTCTGCTGCTCTGTCAGTTYACTGTTCACAGTAAGGCTACCAAACAGAACCCTTCAGGCTCTGCTGTTTGCTCTACACTGTGCTGAATTTTAAGAGTCCGGTGCTGGAGAAAGAAAACCTAAACAGCCTTGATATTAATGTATACCTGTGCAAATGGATTAATGTATACCTGGCCAGAGGAATACAGCTCTGGAGCAGCTCTCCTTGTGCTGCACTCAGAGGTTAAGCCCTGCATGATGACTAGTGCAAGGGAAGAGCATCCTGCTTACCTCCCGCAACGTGCCTCAGCCCCAAAACGATCATGAAGCACAGCCAGAGTTCTCACGTAAAGTTTCAAGCATATTTCCCCTTTTCCAARCAGGTTTCCTAATCTCCATACATTTGTGGCAGGTTTTTTTTTTTTAACCTGTCCTCATAACTCACTCCTTTTAATCCTAGGATTAGCCTTGTTGCCCTTCTCTGTACCTTTTCTAGAGCTGTAAGTACAACTACTAGCCTCAAAACATAGAAATAGATGGAGCTGGAGTGTTAATGCATCCTTGCTACACATCCCACAACCTCTCCTTTAAAAACCTGTGAGCACCTTTATGAGGTAAAAGCTTTTCAGCTGCCCCTTAGAAGCGTAACTTAAGGTGGGAGATGCCCACATCTCTCCTATTCTGCCCCCTCTTGCTTTGCCCCAAACCCAAATTCATTCTGCCTAAGTGAAGGGAAAAGCAAACCACATTCTTTGGGCCTGTTTTAGAAAACCTGATCAATGCCGCTTTGACATACCAGCAACACATGTTCCCATTTCAACAAATGGGAACATTTCAGGCAGACCACCACTTCAGATGGAGTGGGGCTCCTGGCTGCTGAATCAGCACTTTCCATCCTGCTGGCAATACAGAGTTATGCGACGCTTCAAAGGAAAGCGGGGAAAAGGGGGAAAGGGGTGGGAGGGGGCGCTGGCACTTAAGCAACAGAAGCGGGCAAGAGGATTGTGCAGGAGTTCATCTGCCAAACCAATTAACTGCAAACTGTTCGCATAAAGATGCCACAGTTTCAGCCCCGGCTTGCAGTACCACAGTTATACAATGAGAGCCGTGCGTGCGCGGCTGTCCCCGGCGGGAGCTGGGGCAGGAGGAGCCCGCGCTGCCCCTCAGGAAGGGTCCCGGGCTATGGAGGGGCTCTCGGCACGGCCGGGGGCTCGGCAGGGCCGCTCTCCCGAGGGCACACGGCCGCCGCCGCACATCCCCGCCGCGGATGAGCAGGAAGGTGGCAGCACTCCGGGGTGGCATTTCTGCGAGCTGCCCATCCGCCAGCCTCCCGCAAACCCTGCGCGGAGCGGGGGSAATACCGGCGAGTTTCGGCGGCAGCCGCACCGCCAGCAGTTGGCGGGGCAGSTCTGCGCTCTCCTCCAGCGCGGGGCGACGGGAAAGCCCGGCTCCCGGCACCGCCGGGGCGAGGCGCGCAGCAGGCGAGCAAACAAAACGCGGCAAGGAAGCCCCGAGACGGGGAAAAGGGCCGATCCCCCGAGCCCCGGGCCGCCCCCCGTCCSACCCCGGGGGCTCCGCGGCGGGCGGTGCGCGGGGGGCGCTCCCCGCGGGCACTTGGTGGGGGGGGGCTCGCCGGCGGCCCCAGGAAAAGGAAGTTTGCTCTCCTCCTCCTCCTCCCACCGGCCTCCGCCACCGAGGAGCCGGCGAGCCCTCACCCACCCCGGCCCGGCCTCCCCCCGCTGCGGTTCCTCAGGGGCAGCAGCAGCCGCCGCCCCCCTGCGCGCCCCGCGCCGCCCCCCGGCCCCTTACCTGCTGGGCGGGCGGGCGGCCGGCACCGTCCCCGCCGGGCGCCGCGCACCCGCCAAGTTTGGGGCGGGCGCGGGGGGTCGGGGGAAGGGTCGTGCGCGGCGGTGGCGGGGACGGGAGCGCGGGCGGGGAGGGGGATCCTCCGGGCGGCGGGG